AATCACAATTCAATGTTATTGGTGTGGGAGATTGTGATGGAAAATATTACCAGTCATATAAACAATGTACTTTTATTGACAGACATTCTGCTACCCCCCAGTGATGATCTTATGTAATTTTATGGGAGACTTATGGGGGTGTGTTCCCCAATCTTGTCAAAGTCCATCTAAATGCCATTATGCCATTGCTGGTGGAATTTATTGTAGTTCATTAAATTAAAAATAACTGAGCTATCTAATATTTTATATAATGGGAATTAATGAAAACTTCAGGATTCAAATTCAGGCCAGGAAATTTCACCTCTGCATTTTAACCCATTCGTGCAGTGAAACACCACATACACACTAGTGAATGCACACAATAGGGGGCAGTGAGCACACTTGCCCAGAGCGGTGTGCAGCCCTATCCACGGAGCCCGGGGAGCAGTTGGGGGTTAGGTGTCTTGCTCAAGGGCACTTCAGTCATGTACCGTTGGTACATGTAGAACTGGCGACCTTCCGGACACAAGGCTGGTTCCCTAACCTCCAGCCCATGACAGTCGTGTATGTTGATTAGATTAAATTAGATTAGATTCAACTTTATTGTCACTGTGCAGAGTTGCAGGTACAGAGCCAATGAAATGCAGTTAGCATCTAACTAGAAGTGTAAAATACAGTATTATTATTTAGTGATATTACAGTAATATTATAGTATTATTATTTAGTGATATTACAGTAATATTACAGTATTATTATTTAGTGATATTATCTAGTGATATAAAGTGATTGTTAGGTAAATAAACATTATTTGGCTAAAACTGGTGAAACGCTGGGCCTCGCAATGCACACGCTGCCATCTTGGTATTAATATAGCCCAAAATACCTCATATTTTATTTTTGGACAAAATAAAATAAAAACTCCTGTTTGTTCACACTGAATCTGATGTTTTCTAAACATGCAAGTAGAAATTTTGCTAATTAATATGACTGAAATAATGGCTTTATCATTTATGGCTCATGATCTGTGTATCCCATATTACCTCACACACTGTCCCATTTTACCTGAACCCAGCCTATTCGTCCCTGGGTAAATCATGCTATACATGCTGTACTTTTATAAGACAATGATAAGTAGGCCATATCTCCTTTAGACAGCTTTATAGGGTACATAATAGAACTTAATACATTCATCAAAAGTTTAAATGTCCAGGCTATGACTGCACTCTCAGAAATAAAGGTACTAAACTGGCACTGGGGCAGTTCCCCTCTTGTCACTGGGGTGGAACCCTCAAGGCTCCATCTCAGTACCTTTAGTCAGGGAACATAACTGAACCATAATCCACTGAAATGCTCTGTTCTAAGCTGTGCTGACTCCACACACCCCGTCTCGTCTCCAGGCTTTTATTTTACTGTTCTGTTTAAAACATTCGGTTATGAAAAGGTACAAATACGAACTTTTCACCTGGAAAAACTTATTTAAGGTTCACAATCAGACCTTAAAACCACTGTTGGAGCTTTGAGGGAACATTTACACTGTTTGTACCTTGATGAACAGAAATGTACCTGAACAGTACCTTTATTTCTAACAGTGTAGGTCAGTTACACCTATTTTTACTGACTAAGTTTTATCTACACTCAGCATGTTTGTGAAATCAAGTATGTTTATCAGGAAAAACAATAGGTCCATTTCAACCATTCACATTTGGTTCTCAATTCCTATTTTGAGTTTCATTTCATATCATTGGTGACACCTGGACTGCTTTACTGATAACACCAAAACCAAACAGATCCAAAAAAAGAGAACAGAGCCGAACAAACTTAAGTTCCTGTGATGACAGACAGCAATAACATTTTTGGGTTTTCTTTGCTTTTTAAAGCTTTTAAGTTGCAGTAACTACACGGATTTTCAAAAATATATATTTCTATAGCATCTACGTAATTGTAGTGATCATATTCCAAACCAGTGTCAAACTCAACAAGTAAAAGGGCCATATCAAATTCATTTGTGGGCCAGAGGTAAAAAAAAAGGTTCTAAAGGTTTTATTTCATTTTTAATTAATGTTGTGCTGCAACCCGAACTGGCCATTGTTTATTCATAATATGCAAAAACATCAACAGTAAAATACAGACACTTGTAATAGACCTTGAAATATTTCATAGACATAAATATTCAAAACTGAAATGTCCCCAGGAGCTTGGTCTTTTATACTTGCTTGAATTAGACACCTGATATCTTTTCTTTGCTGCAAGTTCATTCATTCTTGGGTTCAGTTTCCGAGCTGAGCTAATTTTAAGTGTTTATGTTGGTTGAACTGCAGCTGAAATGCATTTTGGTGATATAACTGGTGTGGAATTGTGTAGAATTGAGATGTAACCACTGTCCCATAGACGGCTGTTGGGGTAGGAGAGTCGGAGCGCCCAACACAATTGAGGATGGTAGAGAGGTAGATGTGCAAGTATAAATATAATATACATTATACACCAATCAGGCATAACATTACGACCACCTCCTTGTTTCTACGCTCATTCTCCATTTTATCAGCTCCACTTACTATATAGGTGCACTTTGTAGTTCTACAGTTACAGACTGTAGTCCATCTGTTTCTCTGATACTTTGTTAGCCCCCTTTTACCCTGTTCTTCAGTGGTCAGGACCCCCATGGACCCTCACAGAGCAGGTACTATTTGGGTGGTGGACCCTTCTCAGCACTGCAGTAACACTGACGTGGTGGTGGTGTGATAGTGTGTGTTGTGCTGGTACGAGTGGATCAGACACAGCAGTGCTGCTGGAGTTTTAAACACCTCAGTGTCGCTGCTGGACTGAGAATAGTCCACCAACCAAAAACATCCAGCCAACAGCGTCCTGTGGGCAGCGTCCTGTGACCACTGATGAAGGATTAGAGGATGACCAACACAAACTGTGCAGCAGCAGATGAGCTATCGTCTCTGACTTTACATCTACAAGGTGGACTGTGTCTGATCCACTCATACCAGCACAACACACACTAACACACCACCACCACGTCAGTGTTACTGCAGTGCTGAGAATGTCTTTTACTGCACTATACATAACACAAATTATTGTTATTATTTGGTTTGTTTCATTTATTTGTTTGTTTGAAAACAAAATCTGAATGAAAGGCAAGATCTAACAAACACAAATCAACTAACTTGCTAAGAACTCTGGGGAGCTCCACACCATCTCTCTCATTGCTTGTGTTTTTGAGTTTGTTGTACTCAATAAAATCGGTACATCTGAGTTTTCAACCAGACAGTACAAACAACTCGCCTGGGTTAACTCATGGCAACTCATTGCAAGAGAATAAGTAATTAGAATTTGATTATTTAAGCACAAATAATGACGGCTTTTTGGTGTACAAGTATATTTGTGAGGAAAGTCACCTACATTTTTACTAAATTCCACTGTAGTCAATAACATTTAGTGGCTAATTCTGTTTATGTGTGTAATTTGTTGGTGACAGCACCTGGGCTGCTTTGAGATCGCTTCACAGCTCTGACTTTTGAGGTTTTAGACCAGGTTGTGTTTGAAAAAGAGAAGAATAACTCCTAATAAGCTTCCTCTGCTGAACTTCCTGTGATAAGGGCGGAACTGAAATGTTCTGATGCAGATAAGTAAGGACTTAAGTAGATAGTTTGCTTGTTTGGACTGTTCAGCTTCTACCCCAGTGCAACAAGAGAACTGAACACTGCCCAACGCTGACATTGTACAGTACCATCTGTCTACCTGCACCTTTTAAAAACATTCAAAGGATATTAAAATGTTTACATTCATTTGCACTTTATATTTATTATTAAACTGCACTATTCATAAATAGAAACACTTCCACTCACATACTTGCAATACCACAGCTGCTACACTCTTTTATATCCACCCTTTTTTATTTCACTTATTTTTTACTTTTTTATAATTTTATTTTAAATTATTTTATAGTTTTATCTGCACTGCCATTGAGTGGAAAGCTCTGCAGAGGGTAGTGCGGACAGCCCAGCATATCACCGGGGTCCAGCTCCCAAACCTCCTGGATTTATACACCAGCCGCTGCCTGAGGAAGACCAGGAGGATTCAAAAGGACTCCACCCACCCAAGCCACTGTCTGTTCTCACAGCTGCCGAGCAGGAGGAGGTACAGAAGCATAAAGTCCAGAACCAGCCGGTTCCGAGACATTTTCTTCCCCTGGGCCATCAGGCTGCTGAACAGCCAGTAGTGCTGGTGTATCGGTCTATAGGCCTGTCACTGCACCTCTGAGTCGTCATCATCATGATGATCTCCATGGACAATCCACACCTCATCCACATCTCATCAGACTCACTCTGATTTTTGCACCTTCAATCTGGCAAATCTGTACTTACACATATAGACTGACATCTTGTACATCTTCTATCCATATCTTGTATAATCTGGAAGATTTCTATATCAGTATTCTATCCCTGTGTACCTGCATCTCATTTATTATCTACCTCAGACTAACTGCACATACGGAAATGTGTACAACAGTGCGTATCATAGTTTTATTTCATAGCTTATTACTGTATGACTGAACATTGCAATACTAGTGCACATTGTGTACATGTGTATATTCAGAGTCGGTATATATATATATATATATATATATATATATATATATATATATATATATATATATATATATATATATAAGGGGGCTACAAACCTAAGATTGTCACTCACTTTCCACCTGTAAATGTGATGTGACAATAAACGGGATTTGATTTGATTTGATTTTTTACTTTTTTTATCATTTTAAATTATATAGTTTTTTCTCTAATATCTTGCATTTTATATTTATTCGCCTATATTTTTGTTTTATTCCTAGTTTAATCGTTTTTTTCTGTATGCACCGTCAGGATTGCTAACCTGCGCAATGAAAATAAAGCATCTTCTCAACTCGCTCAGACCGGCTGTGCCTCTGTTGGCCGCTGGGTGTCAGCAGTGGACAGTAACGGCAGAGCGCCTGAGTACGGGTCCGCTGCTCCCCGTTATTCTCTTCAAACGTCCCGCATATCGAGAGAGGACGAGACAGACTGCGGTCCTTCGAGTTTTAGAGTCTGTAAAAGCGGAAAGGATGCCAGTTATCTCGCTAAATGTGCCGCAGCCTCGACGCCTCTGAGTGAAAGCGCGGACAGAACAGGAGCGCACGTGCGCCTCAATGCCCAACCGTCACTCGCCGTGAGCGCTGAGGAGTGAACGGCCGCCCCGTTTGAATGGCGGCTGACAGGAGTTTGGATTAACCGGAATAGCGGCGTGAAATCGAAGCTGCTCCCGTTTTCAGCCAGGTTTAAAGCTGCTGCAGCGATGTGGAGGTAAGCGGTTTCCTCTGTGGTCGTATTTAAGCTGAAATGTGTTTTTCTGCCGCTTATTAACGCACGAATTACAGGTGTTTCTGTGCGGTTTTGCTAAAATGGAGGAAAACATCTCAAACACAACACCGAGACTTGGACAGTTTTGACGTGTTAAAGCGTTAAAAGTGTTAAATCTGACGCGAAGCAACGCCCAAACTTTTTTAATGTGCTTCTCAACGGTGTGTCTGAATGAACGAGCTTTCTAAGACTGAACACAGTCGACTCTGAGTCTTTCTGACAGGAGCAGTGAGACATAACTGTTATTTAACCGTTTTCTGTTCGTGTTTCTCTTCTATTACGACCAAAATAACCGTATTAACGACCAGTGAAACTAGCTAAACTGTGCTAAAGGGCAGATTTTAGCTGCTGGATTTGTGAAAATGAAGATATACAAGGATAACGCTAACAAAATAGACGTATTTTGGCTTTTTGAGACACATTATTTCCACAGACAAAGTCCATTAATGAGGTTGTAGCGAGGATTCTGAATGAAAAGCTGACTTGCCGTAAGTTTGGCATTTCGCTGTTGTGGGGAGAAAACTTTACAGGAGAAGGAAAAAACCTACTTTACTTTGAATGTAAGTCAATGGAACCAGACGTTTTTCCAAGTCATTTTGGGCCGTTTATTTGGTACATTCATCATGAAATTCACATACAATGTAAAGGGCAACAGACACTTTCAAATTATGCCATAAACTGAATGGAGATACAAGGTTTTCTTCTTATATACACACATATATCTCGTTGATGTTGGAAGAAAATCTTGTATCCAAAATGGTAACTTTACAGGAGAAGGAAAAAACCTACTTCACTTTGAATGTAAGTCAATGGAACCAGAATATTTTCCAAGTCATTTTGGGCCGTTTCCTTTTGTCCATTCATGATGAAATTTACGTACAACATAAAGGGTAACGGGTATTTTCAAATTATGTCAAAAACTGAAAGACATCAAAAATGGAGATACAAGGTTTTCTTCCGACAGCAGCGATAAGGAGAATCTGAGCATTAGCTATATTAACGTAACAACTTCTATAAGAAATACGCACCGCCTGTTGAAACAGCAGGCAGTTCTGAGCCTGTCTGAGTCGAAATAGCTTATTTTCACATTAGGTAATGAAACTGGATAATGAGAGCTCACACCCATCACTTTGAACTGAAATGGATATCTGTGTTCAGCTGCACTGGTTGTCAATGTCAGTGTGTGGCTGGTCCCATTTGCTCCCCTCACTGCCGGAGGAATTTACTGAGGAAGCTCAAACTGTCCCTCACATGAGCCTCAGACCAGCATTATTCTGGGATTCACTGAAGAATTTAGGGTGTAGGAGAGACTTGAGTGTAAACTGAGTTAGACTTGGGCCGTGTTGCAGTTTACAGCTTGTTAAAGCCAAATCAAGTGTGGGTATTTGTGTCATAGTCGGATTTTCATTTTTTCTTTCACCATTCAACTTTTGAATGGTCACTTTTGCAGTTTTAAACATGACTGTTGTGAGTTGAGATAAAACATTAGACAGTTAAAGTGAACTCAGCCACCACATTTGCTGTTTATAATGTAAGTTAAGCTTATTAGAGAGGATTTGAGTCTGCAAGACCATTAAACGCACCGCTTCTGTTACCAGACTGATACTGGCACAGGTACTAAAGTATTCTGTCAGTGTTGGTCATATAAAAATTAGCAATGCCGCCCCAAACACAATGTAATCTCATGATGACTTTGCAAACTTTGCACATATGTCATGCAGCTCATACATTTCATTGAGTGTATTTCATCAGCATTCATAGTCAATTAGTCTTTCTTACAGGACAGACATATATTCATGCAGGGCATGTGTACAGTTTCTGATCATTCTTATATTAGCTAGGTTGTTACTGGTACTGGAATTGGGATCAATAACACCGATTAGGCATAACATTATGACCACCTCCTTGTTTCTATGCTCATTGTCCATTTTATCAGCTCCACTTACTATATAGGTGCACTTTGTAGTTCTTTGTTAGCCCCTTTTACCCTGTTCTTCAGTGGTCAGGACCCCCATGGACCCTCACAGAGCAGGTACCTATTTGGGTGGTGGATCATTCTCAGCACTGCAGTGACACTGGTGGTGTGTTAGTGTGTGTTGTGCTGGTCTGAGTGGATCAGACACAGCAGTGCTGCTGGAGTTTTTAAACACTGTGTCCACTCACTGTCCACTCTATTAGACACTCCTACCTTGTCAGTCCACCTTGTAGATGTAAAGTCAGAGACGATAGCTCATCTGCTGCTGCTCAGTTTGTGCTGGTCATCCTGTAGTCCTTCATCGGTGGTCACAGGACGCTGCCCACAGGACACTGTTGGCTGGATATTTTTGGTTGGTGGACTATTGTCAGTCCAGCAGTGACACTGAGGTGTTTAAAAACTCCAGCAGCACTGCTGTGTCTGATCCACTCAGACCAGCACAACACACACTAACACACCACCACCACGTCAGTGTTACTGCAGTGCTGACAATGATCCACCACCCAAATAGTACCTGCTCTGTGAGGGTCCATGGGGGTCCTGACCACTGAAGAACAGGGTAAAAGGGGGCTAACAAAGTATCAGAGAAACAGATGGACTACAGTCTGTAACTGTAGAACTACAAAGTGCACCTATATAGTAAGTGGAGCTGATAAAATGGACAGTGAGGTGGTCACAATGTTATGCCTGATCGGTGTATCTGTCCATGCTTAATGATCACTCTTTTCTATCTGACTGGTGACTGTATTCTGTAAGCCACCATATGTCAAGAGAACTGGGCCAAGATCCTGAAAGGGCATTTTATAATCAAATAGCCTAGACGAGCTTGGAGTAGACGACTGAAAGGGGAATGCGCACATTTTTTTTTAACTTCTGTATAATTAAATTAATAAAATGCAAACAAAGTCACTCAGAGAGGTTTGGCATGAAATGTGTTTAGAGAAACTTGCCAAGTCAGAATTGTTCACAACTGTGGTGAAAAGAACCAGATCTCTGAAAGCTTTTACATGAGATGGTTATAAATATGTTGCCTAATACCTGAGACATTGTTTGGTGATAGTTTTGAGAAGGTTTTTGGCCTAAAATATATATTTTTAAAATCTGTTCACGATGGAGAGGCACATTTACGGGGTTATAACATAAAATCGTTACCAAAGCAAACATGTTTTTTTATTTAATTTACCTCTGTTTTTCATATACTTATCATCATTACATATAAAATCTCAGAAGACATGGTCATTTTGAATAGTCAGTGGGTATATTTGAGTTGCAGACATTGTGACCCCCGGTTCCTATCACCACCATTGTAAAGAAATTTGAGTTGATAAGTTTCTCTGCAATCAACCAGCTCTGAATGACTGTGTTTTACATGTCAGAGACTGAATTACGCAGAAATCTGTTAAAAATCAGTGGAATTATTTTTTAAGGTTCACAATGGATGAGAGTAAGAGCTTTCAAGTGGAGGATCTCCAATATGCATCTTCTGTTTCTACTCTTTTCCTTCTCCTTTATGAATTCAGATTGATGTCCAGCTGTTTTCCATGCTCTGTAGTTGTGAGATCAGATTAAACTCGTCACCTCTCAGTCTGGGGGAGCTCTCCGCTCAGCTCACCAGGGCGGCAGGGGTTGTATATGACACTGGACGTCCAGGGAGGGTTAACAGGTGGCCTGAGAAAACTGATCCAGACGGGTGTCCACTCATGTAGATACTTGATATGATTTGAGGTATCTCTACTTATTGTTCTGGATGCTTTCTTTTTTCTCTCACTTTTATTCATTTATACATTTTCACTAAAGTGTATATATATCCCTTTTTAAGTTTTCTACTGAAGCTAAAGTGTTTAGCATAACAGGATCAGTAAATATAAAATGTAGGAACCAGGACTAGATCCATGTGGGTGGTAAAATGCAGATATTCCACTGATTTTTTACTAATTTCTGCATAACTCCGTCTTTGAGATGTAAAACAAAGTCATTCAGAGTGGAGGTGTAAACTCATTGAGTGTGTTTACATGCATTTAATAATCCGATAACTGCAGAAAATCAGATTTTGTCAGTAAACCGGTCAACACGTTTGCATGCTCTTGAGTAAGCAGATCGTGGGGAAACTCCAGGTCTACATGAGTCAGACAGTAATCAGGTATCTGCTTTACAACCAGCCAGTAGACTCACAGAAGAAGACGTAACGTAAATGTAATATAAAACTCAAACTTCATGCCGCTGTTTTTTTTAAAACATGGCGCCACTTTACCTGAAAATATGAACTTAAATCATCTAAAAGATGAAGAATATTTAAATCCTTTATTTATTGTTTGGTTTCAGCGCCGCTCCAACAGTGTTTTGCTGCGTCTCGCGACGTCCTCTGTCTGATCTCGCACATGCGCAGACTGAGAAATCCAAAAAAAATCAGAGTAAGAGTTTAAATGCACTGAGAAATCTGATTACTGAGCTAGAATCCGGCCTCTTTATCAGATTTCTTAACCAGAATATGGTGATTACATGACCATTTGAATAATCGGATAACTGCAGAAATCCGATTATGATCGGATTATTGAGTGCATGTATACGGACTCATTGATTGCAGAGAAACATGTAATGCAGACAATCATAAAATAATCGTAAAGCTGAAAGAGTTGTTCTCTTTGGGGACTATTTTTTCTCTCAATGCCCTGCATGTACCTCTTTGCCATGAATGGTTTTTGAAAAATACATTTTAGGCCAACGTTTTTGTTCTCAAAGCTTTCATAAAACAATGTCTCACGCATCAGACAGTATATTCATAGCCATTTAATGTACCAACTTTCTGTGTGGGAGATTTTAAAGGCATTAAACTCTGCAGACATCTGGTTCCCTTCACCACCACTGTAAACAGTTCTGAGTTTCTCCAGAATGGAGCATTTCACATCAAACCACTCTGATTGACTTTGTTTGCATGTTAGCCTTTTAATTATGCAGATAATTTGAAAAA